TGGGATGCCGACAGCAATGGAGGTATCTTTGCGCTTAGGAAATGCGCTCAGCACCTTCATATAATCTTTAGTTGTAAAGTCCAACCTTGTTAATACGGACACCTGGGGGGCATAGAAAGTGCCTGTATTAACGGGGTGTCCGTATTAAGCGGGTTGAATTTAGAGAAAATGTAAGGGCTCTCTTTCCCCAGGGACAAAGCAAACTGTCCGTAGTAATAATGAGGTGTCCGTAAGGCGAGGCTTGACTGTACTTTTATTATATTAGTGATTACTAATTAAGCAATAGAAAACGTTTTCCGTGTTTGCATAGCCTGATATAAACACAAGAGGGTTTGGGAGAATTCGAGACAGTTATGCAAACCCGAGACGAAGTCGAGGGTTTGCATAACTGTCGAGAAAAAAGTTATAAAAGAACTTTCCCGGGAAAAAAAAGCAAAACTCTCTTATTTAGAGCCCTGATTGAAAGAGAAATTCTTACCAGTCGCGAAGTCTTGTACACGAAGCTTGTACGCGTAATCAGTCTTTGTTTTGCAAAAAAGATGCTTTCCAATATACGGGTTTTCTCGCTTAAAATGTCAGTTCAAGCGAGAAAAAATTGACACAGCATGTTTCTAACGATTTTTCAAGTTTCAACCGACGAGGAAATGGGTAAATAAAGTAAAGTTGTCGGGTTTTTCAACTCAAAACCAAAAAAAGCCAAACATCTTTACGTCACAACCATGTTTACATACTCTCATGCAAACACGCCTTTCGACCAATCAGAGCGCGCGTACTATCTTAGTTATTTTATAATGAAGTTTTATGTTAGTTTTCGACGCATTTGATCGCTGAATAGTTGTTAATTAATTAGCTAATACTCTTTATTGACTCATAGTTTTCAGTTTCTCACAAGAGTCTACCCGCCTACCAAACTCGTTCCCAGGTTCTCTCTCTTTCTCGGAAGGGAAAGGCCCCTGGGAACTATGTTAACTAAATTGCTGTTGTTGTTGTTGTTGTTGTTTTAATGAACGTATCTTTCTTTTCAAAGCTAAAAGGTTCATTCCCTTCATTCTTCGCTGGGTGATTAAGATCAGTAGAGCTGGATGTCAAGTAGTGAATGTTCCCAGTGGATTTCCCTATTTTGGTAAAATTCACAAGAGGATTTATGTAAGTTTTCCTTGGTATTTACCAAAGATCTTAGAACGAAGTTATCATTTGTGACGTACTTTGAGGCTATTTTTTCGGCATTTCTGTCAAGTCTCAATGAAAATAATCGAACACTTTTGAAAACTGGTAGTTTTTTTGTTACAATAATGCATGGAAATTAATGACTTTCTAGGTGTCATAAATCATGTGCGTTAGTCTCTCGCGATCTTCCATTATTTCTTTAACTGAACTCATATTGAGATGGACTCAGACTGTCAAAACTCTCCAAAACGGACAACGGACAACGGACGCGTTAAGAAAGTTGACGGGCACTTGAAAAAAAGACACATCTAATATCACACCTAGTTTTCCAGAGAGCTTTTAAGGCCTTACCCTACCCTATTGATGACCAAAATTTGCCAAAATTCGCCCAGGAAACTAGGCCGAGTTGGCTGTCGCAAAGACTTTTAGGATCGTTACTGCGGACGCGCCGGTCAGCTATTGGCCAATTTTTGCCTGTCCCACAATTCTTTGCGAAGGTTAACTCAGCCTAGGTTCTCTCTTGTTTTGAAAGTAGTGAATTGTGATGTAAAAAATCTTTAATCAGTTACAGAACAAAAAGGTTCAAAACGTATCCTGTGGCTGAAATCTCTGTATCATACGTGAGTCTAAAATGTATTTATTATATAGTCGGTTCTTTAAGCGGGCAAGATGAAGTGAATCTCGTGTTCTGATTGGTTAGAGGTATGACTTTCCATGTGGCATTTGCACTTGTGGGATTTCCCGCTTTGGCCCTTCAAGAAAACTTAGCGTTTTCTTGGCCATACTCATGAATCGATTTCGCCTCCGTCCATAAAAACGCAAAAAAAAACCCATAAAGACCAAAAAAACAAGCCAATATGCAGCCAATATCTAAACCGAACAAGCTTGGTCTGTACTGAGGGTATGTAATTTATATTTTCCAGGTCTGTACCAACGGGTTGATTTCAGTGGGTAAGAGGTATAACCGAAGGAATCCCAAACGACTCACGTCTTTGCGTAAGGATGTTATCGCAGCATTCTGGGCCAACACTGACGTGACTTCCGCCAGCTCAGTTTCTTATCAAATTGTGGACGAAGGCTCTTCCGAGTTCAGAGAGGTATGTCTGGTTAGCGGCATCACATGAGGGTTTTATGATTTCTACTAAACTCTGCAAACAGATGCATACCTCGTTTTTCTCGCAGTTTTGAACAGATAAAGATAGGGGTATTACTTTCCATGTGGTTAAATTTTAGCGACAATGTTTATGTAAATGAAAATTATATGAAAACAGTTTCTTACTTAGTTTTTCTGGTCCTTTTTCAAAAGTTAGAGATATGGGGACGACTCTCCATGAGGCATTTCAATCAACGAACAAAACTTTTTCGATGGAAAGTGACTGTTGCTATGGCTCCCATAGACCTGAAAGAAGCAATATTTCACTAAAAATATCTGTGGAATTTACCTATAATGAATTAAAAACTCTCCCAAATAGTGTATATGTTTCTCGTTTATTATAATCCTTTACCTTCAAGATGAGTCGTACTTACTTTGACTAAATTCACAACGCTTACATGTACATACGATTTCTTTTTTTTTCTAAAGCAATTAGAAAATGCTTCTAAAGTGATCAGAAACTGTTCCGGTGCCAGCGACTTTACTGCTACGTGGATGGTGATCGTCAAATGGGATAAAGTTTCACCCTACGCCAGATTCCGAAGAAGAGTCCTTTTCTTCTTGTCCAGGGTCTTCAATCCATACGTAGACGAGGTATTTTACAATTACACATACACCTAATTGAAGTAACCAAGAAAGCCAAGTACGAATTAACTAGGCCGGATATAAGCTGTCTTAATTCTCAAAGGATCATGCATTTCAGTAAAAACAGCAGGTTTAAATTCTTATTAGATCGAGCTAATAGCGTGACACAGCGTGACATAGCCCTTAGACTTAGCCCCGGAAAGGGCTAATAATAGGGCCATTTATACGAGGAAAAATAAGACGCGGCTTAGCGAAGACGCGTCTTATTTTAGAACAGCCCTTAACACCTGTTCTTAGATAACACGCGTCTTAGCTAAGACGAGAAAAACTTCGTATAAATGACCTTCGCGCCTTACATAAGAAGCGAACGCATAGTACGCATGCGTAAATTTTTGGCGCGCCACGTTGGATTGCCGTTGCTACGGGCAACATTCACATGAAAACGAGTCAAGAACAGAAATAAGACGCAAACCATTTATACGAGCTGTTCTTGTCTTAGACTGAGACATGCTCGTATAAATGGTACAGTTCGCGTCTTTTCCTCGTATAAATGGCCCTATTATGTCCTTAACTATAAACACCGGGGACTACCTGCTCTCTTCTTTGCTAAGAGCACTGTGGGTCTCTTTGCTTTCCCTTCAGATTAGACCGCAGGGCTGGGAAAAACGCTCGCAATGAGCCAATGTGCCAGACGCAAGTCTAGAAAAGGTCTTCTAAAGTGTTTGTGGCTCTGGGAGCAAGGATAGCGCAGTGGTGAGAGTACCCGCGTGGGTTGAGTTAGTTGTTGGTGCTCTCCTTTGCTCCTAAAGGTTTTTCTCCGGTTACTGCGGTTTTCCCCACTACTCAAAAACATTTTCAAATTCCAATTCGACCAGGAATCAGGTAGACGAAAAACCACCGTGTGAATGTGCTTCCCCTAAATCATTATTTATTTATTTATTTATTTATTTACCTTTCTTATGATCTCATCTTTTCTGCAAAGCACCTATCAAGCGGTCCTCCTCACAAATGGAACCGATTCATACGTAATCTACAGCTATGAAGATGGTGGAATGGAGTGGACACGGCGTATTGGAAGAAAATGCGCTGTAGGATACGCCACAAAGGACAGATCGTATAGCTACGAGGAAGAAGACTCGTTCAGAGAAAGCATTTTTAGCATTGATACTAAAGAATTTGAAGTTAACGGAGTCAGACGTCAAGGTTTCTTTTGTAAATCTCTCAACGCGCCAGACGCTCCTGTCGTACTAACAGATGAACAGAAGTGTATGAGCTGGTACAGTCAAGAACCAGACCCGAAAGATTGGCTGGAGGAGTTGGGTGATTGTCCGGCTACAAGAACAGCATGCAGGCGTGATAACCGATACAGAAGAGAAACTAGATCTTGGTTTATCGAGTGCTATGAACTTAGGTTTGCTACCCCCAAATATGGTGCTAGCCATCGGTGTTGTTATCACAGACGAGGGCGAAGGAGGAATGCTTTTGTCGGAGAGCCCCCTTCAGCTGGAAGAGCATACAGGTTAGTATTCCTGTGAAAGCAAATAGGTAAATATGTGGATGATTTCATAAAGAACCGTTAAATGAAACGCAGTCATTACTCCATTTTTGCCGTAATAATAGGCAGCATTTTAAAGGCTTTTTCATTGGTCGTCTGTGAACGCTTCCATAAAGATGAATTCACTTTAGTTCATTAAGCGCTGTTTATTCGTTTAAAACTGGGGTATCCGCGAAGCTTACACACAAGAAACGATGATTACCTACGGGAAACAGCTGTTTGCCGTAAATATGGTGCTTAACCTCTCTAAGGGTTGATTTCCACTGTCGCGTAATTTTTGTGTGGACTCGCGTAATTTTTACGTGTGAACGCGCGTAAGTTTTACGCGCGTAAATAAAATAGAGGCAATGTATGAAAGGACACTCGTAAACGTGAAACTTGAACGAGGTTCAACTTTTACGTTTACGCGTGACCTTCTATACATTGTCTCTATTTTATTTACGCGCGTAAAACTTACGTGCGTACGTGCGGAAAATTTACATTCGCAAATAAAGGAGAGGCAATGTATGAAAGATCGTGCGTAAAAGTAAAAGTTGATCACCTCGCGTGTATAATTTACGTGCGGTTGATTTCCACTGTCGTGTAATTGATTTCCACTGTCGCGTAATTTTTACGTGCGAACGCACGTAAAATTTGCGTGCGTAAATGAAATAGAAGTAATGTATGAAAGGTCACGCGTAATCGTAAAAGTTGAGTGAGGTTCAACTTTTACTTTTACGCGTGACCTTCCATACATTGTCTCTATTTTATTAATGCGCGTAAAGCTTACGTGAGTTCACACTTAAAAATTACGCAACAGTGGAAATCCACCTTATTGCTAGCTTCAGCTTAGCCGCCCTCTTGATTTACCTTTTTTCGCAGATATCACTACACCAGTAACAAGAGAGAACAAGGCGATGACGAGCCATTCAGCCTTTGTTGTGGTGATAGAGGATCTACTTTATGCAATCTGTTCTTTGAGAAGCGACCGCTGACCACTGCTGCTAGTGTCCGCCCGTTTCCGTTACCATGTACTTGTAGGTTGTTCGGATGTTTATTTAGTCCCTGTAGACCCAGTCGCCCCCGGCGACGCCGATGGAGAAGACCTCGTAGAGGTAAGTTAGTGCTAGTACAAAAGTCAAAAGAGAAATCAATAGACGTTTCTACCGATACGGCGGCCGTATTGAATTACTTACATTTAAGGAGTATTATTATTCATTCGAAATATTTCCCCAATTCTGATTGGCTAAAAGCACACGCATAATTCACCATAACCAGTTACTGATGACCAAATTTGGAATAATTTTGTGTTTAACGGGGAAATGACGTCAAAAATGCAGCACGCTACAGGTTAAGGCACTGTTACCGAGAAGACCTGGGGACGAGGGTGAGTTGTTTTGGTTGTGAAAAAAAGATGGCGGACATTTCACTCGTTTCAAGAGTAAGAACTACAGCTGGAACTAGGTGAAATAATGGCTAAAAACATGGCAAAAACAGCAAGAAGACAACTCGGAGGGCGACATCTGCTATTTGGAGAATATTTGCGGAGCTGGACAAACCTAAACGTACACTATCGAAGATGAACTTACCATCGATGCAGGTAAGCATGTTTTAGCTGTGTTTTAAAATTAGGAATTATTTTGAATGAATATCCTACGAAAGCCGCATTCATTTATTGCTAATTATGGGATGCCGAGGGGGACTTTCGCTCAGTATTTACGCTTGCTTTTGGGACAAAAAGAAAACTTCACTGTATATTTCTCGGGGGAAAAGGTGATTGTTATTACATCCAAAGACGGCACAATGATCTTTCTTCCCATTACAATCTTTTCCTAAGAAAATTTTAAGGATAATTGGCCCGAAAAGCACGCGTAGATACTGAGTGAGTATATCGGATCCTGCTCATGCCCCCTGGGCATCCCATAATACCCCTTAAATCTAATTAATTCAATATGGCCGCCGTATCGGTGAAAAGGTCTATTTGGGTAAATCATCAAACGCTAAAACTGTCGAAAATTGTATGCCTTGAACCCTGGTAAAACTCGAATTTTTGCCAGAAAATGGGAGCCATGTTTGTTTCTTGCCTTATATGACAGTTATTAAGAGTGTACGAAATGAGCGCTGGCTGTGGCTTGAATCTAACGTGAATATATATAGAATATTCTTTGCCTGATGATTTGCCCGATGAATTGCCTGATGATTGCTTCGTAAGAGGTATGAAACTCATTATGTAATCATTTAATCACATTTACTCATTTAATCACATTTAATCCAGTTCCAACAGTCTACTTGTATTCTGCTCTAGTTCAACTATTGAGCCCTCTTACAGTCGATGAGGACATCACTCTTTTACTTCATTAGAATATTTTTTGAATATGTTTTGAATATTTCTATGCAATGAACACGTGTTTTATGTTTTGTTATTTTTAGCGTGGTTCTTTGGAGATCCCCATGTGTCTACACTGGATAGTCTACAGTACACTTTTAATGGCCTCGGAGATTACGTTTTGATTCGAGCCCTAGACAACTCACTTCATTTACATGGAAGGACAAACCGACCCCTGACGCCCGAGGGCGAACTGAGCAAGGCGACGGTCTTTTCGGGTTTCGCGCTCAAAACAAACACAAGTGACACTGCGCAGATTCTCTTCGACGATTCGTTGCCCGGCAACCTTAGTATCACCGTTATACGGCGGGCAGACAACTCTTGCACAAACCACACTATTGATGACTTTAATGACGGTCCTGCCCTGGAAATGATCTCTCTTGAAAGAAGCTCTGTCAATAACAACACCATTATCGTCTCCTTCCCATCGGGCTTTTCGATTGAGGTGACGCCAGGGATCGGTCTTTTGCAAATCAGTCTTAGCGCAAGTGAGGAAATGATGGGTAACACGCAAGGACTCATGGGAAATTTTAATGGCGACAAATCTGATGATCTAGAGTACCCAAATGGGACCGGGATAGCAGCTAATTCCACGGAAGAACAGATATTCCATTTGGGACAACAATGTAAGTTGCAGACTACTTCTTGCCCAAAAAATAGAAGTAATTACTCTGACCAATAAGAGCGCTCGAAGAAAAACCAATCAGATCTAGAACAAGTAAATGCAGCGGGTGTCAAGGGCGGGAAATTATTGCAAGCAGCCAGCCATTGGTTTTGATTTGACTTTTGATTGGCCAAGAGAGTGACGGAAGCCAAACTTGTTAAGAGGAACTGAGTTGGTCACAGGAATAAGCGTTTTTCAAAAATTTTCAAAAATACCACAACACTCTTTGTTTTTTCTCCAAAATTTTGCATAATCATTGTTTTCAAGTTTTCTTGGGACTTATTATTGTCTCAAGAGAAATTGAAAACAATGGAGGGACAACAAAGAGTATTATGGTATTTCTGAAAAGGCCTATGGCTTAATAGAAGAAAAGTCTTGCACGATGACGTCATTTTATTGCAACAGTTCCACCAGAATCCTTCAGTTTGTTGTTTTCTAGTGCAAATGAGGGCTGTGTTTCAAACCTCAGTGAGGTTGACAAATTTAAGTGAGGAAGCGAAAACGAAACGAATTCTTGTAGTTGTAGTCAATTGTCGTTGGGGAGCAAGGGTGGCGCCGTGGTGAGAGCCTTCGCCTCCCACCAATGTGGCCCGGGTTCAAATCCTGGCGTCAACGCCATATTTGGGTTAAGTTTGTTGTTGGTTCTTTCCCTTGCTTCGAGAGGTTTTTCTCCGGGTACTCCGGTTTTCCCCTTCCCTAAAACACCAGCATTTTCAAATTCCAACTCGACCGGGAATCAGGTAGACGAAGAACCACTATGTGCATGTGCTACCTCCAAATTGTTATTATTATTATTATTATATTGGCAATACAAAGGTCTGAATGCCCAGACTAAAATTTGTAGTAACAATTAGACAATAGTTTGCGCCCAAAAAAAAAACGGGAAAAATGATTTGATAAAAGTGTCATTAAAAAATACATAAACAAAAATCCTACAAGCTTTATGGACATCCTAATTATAAAATAAAAATGTTCATAAGTTAAAACCATCGTTCATATAGCTGTCCATTAAATTATGAGAACGTCCAAGGTATGTCAATAAAATTTCGATAATGTACAAGTTTAAGTATCTGTTGAATAGGTGTCCAAAATTCCTATAGATATCTAACCGCTCAGCTTGAACATTCTAGCAATGTGTGATGAACTTACTAGACACGATTGCCTTCTGCATTTGGCGGATAATTGATTCACACTTATCTCCTACAAGCTCTTTTAATTTTGCTCAACCTCTTTATTATAATTATTATTATTATTATTATTGTTAATTGTTGTCGTCGTGTAAATAGCCTATTTGTTTTTGTTTGTTTAATTTTTCTTTCCCTTTTTTTTCTAACTTTAATGCATTGTTTACATAGGGAGAGTCCCAGATGAAGAAAAGTTGTTCGTTTCACCAAACAACTGCTCGTTACAAAGTGTGTTCTTCGATGCTTCCTTTGTTCCGTCGTTCCTGAACTTGTCCGCGGTGCCGCAGCATATCATTGATCTCTGTGGTGGTAATAAGGAATGCATATATGATGTACTAGAGACCAACAACACGGCACTTGGGCAACAGTCCGCTGGATTTGAAGAAGAAAACCAGAATATTGTGGACGAGTTGAGTAAGTTTCAACGAGTAACAGGAGGGCGGAAAGCGCATTTGAATGAGTTTTGATAGTTAAATCTGCTTCTTGCATATTGAAGATAAGTTATATTATACAATGGCAGTTAGCGTTCCCGTTCTCTTTGTCTTTATACTGTCAAGTAAGACTGTGCTGTCGTCCGTCGATTTGATATACACCTAATTGCAATAACCTTGTCTTAGAAAAATGCTGAATGTAAAAATAGGAAAGGGAAATAGCCAAATAGGAATTAATTGGGCTTACTTATGACAACTGTAAGGTGACTTCATTTGCAGGGGTTTTTAAGGCGTAAAAAGAAAATGCAAATGCCATAGTCGTACGCGTATGTTGCAAATAAATGCACCCTTTAATGGCTTCCCAATAAGTCTAATTCGTTCCTGTTTCACATTTTGCATTTTTTTCTTTTAGCATTTTTCTATGACAATGTTATTGCGATAGGGGTATGTCCCTGAAAATGTTTTTTTTTTCCTAACTGATTAAGAAAATCTAAGATGGCGGATTAAAAATGGCGGCAGTGTCTGTTTTAGGGTGGTGTCTGTCTTATTGGAGGTGTCCATGTACACAGACTGAAAGTTAATGGTATTGCTATTGTTAACTTAAAGGTAACACGCCTCCAGAAATCAGTGGACCACAAGAAGTGAATGTGACACTCAATGAAACGACTGAATTTTACGTCACCGCCACAGACCCTGACAACGACACGGTGACTCTGGACATTGAGGAGCTCCCACAGGGAGCAACCTTTAACGCCACAACGGGGCACTTCTCGTGGACACCTGTGAACGCAACCAACATGACCTTAGAGTTCATAGCCACAGACACTAAGAACGCTTCTACAGTGCTGACTGTTGTCATAAACATGTGCCAATGTCAGAACGGCGGGGAGTGCGACTTCACAGAATATATCGGGGACGACTCCGGAGTGTTCCGTGTCGTTGGATGCAACTGTTCTGAGCAGTATGAAGGAACATTCTGCCAGACTGAAGCTCCTGATGCATGCGACGACGAACCATGTTTTGATAACGTGACTTGTAGTTCTACGAGAAATCCGTTTGGATTCCAGTGCGGGCCTTGCCCTGCGGGACTGACGGGGGATGGTGAGAACTGTTTTGGTAAGTGCAAATTCTCTTTCTAAAACAGTGGCGGATCCCCTGTCCCCGCTTATGTTTAGATCAAACTGCCCCCCCACACACACACACCCCCCCCCACCTATCTCAGGGTCTGGATGAGCGGGGCCTGGATCCGCTACTGTAAAATATTAGTTTTTTTGGAATGCTAAAAACTTTACTGTCTTCAAGGAAATAAGTAAAACGACTTGTTTACCGCGACCTAAATGGAAAAGACTGGAGAAAGAAATCACAAAAGACACTTGTGAATAAACAATATGAACGAATTTAAAAAAAATTACTTAGGGTCAATTAATGACGAGCTTTTTTACCATTCCTGTTAAGACCTGAAATGCTTCTTCGTCTGAAAAGACGAAATAACGAAATGATGGATTTAAGAGATCTTTCGAAAAATTGGCTTTGTTGAGAATAGAGTTACCGTATTTATTGGAATAAGCGCCCAACCTCGAATTAGCGCCCACCTCGAATAAGCGCCCATCCTAAAGGCAGAAAAAGTTAATAAGCGCCCAGCCTCGAATAAGCGCCCACCCCTTCTCCTCCCAATCAGACTCAAATAAGCGCTCACCCCCAACCCACCCACTTAAGTGAATAAGTTCCAATAAGAGACTTCCCCGAGGACGGAGTTTTCTTCAGAGTATTTTACAGAAACCTTGCTTTGTTACTTCTTCGCGAATTGTTATTAGCATTTATTGTTTTGTTGCAAAATAAACCTACTTCATTTGCTGAAAATGGTAAAAATTTAATAAGCGCCCAGCCTCGAATAAGCGCCCACCTCGAATAAGCGCCCACTCTCAAGGTCCAAAAATTTAATAAGCGCCCAGGGCGGTTAATCGAATAAATACGGTATTAACAGATTCAGTATGAAAACAAAGTAGCCATCAATATTCGCCAATAACAGTATACATTCATCTTTTGACGCCATAGGTTTTGCAATGTGACCATCTCAGACTCTTTGGTGGGACACAGTTTTATTTCCAAGTGGAATGTAAAATCTAAGTAACCGTGAAAAAAAAACACACACACACACACACACGCAACGTTGGGAAAAATGACAGCTACATAACTATTTTGTACTTTTTCAGAAATTGACGAGTGTGCCAATCAAAGCGTGAGCCAGTGTAATCAGACCTGTGTAAACACTTTGGGAAGCTTCTACTGTGAGTGTCGCAAAGGTTTTACAACACATGACGAAGGAAGGATCTGTGAAGGTAGGTTGTGCGCAACGACACGCCCTTGGCCCTTTGTCTCTAGCAGAACCCAACCAACCTCGCCCACCCCCAACCCCACCTCCCACCATTACAACCACCACCACCACCAAGAGCGATTAAATAGACACGTAAGAGGAATTTTTAAATATTATTAGCTTTATAGGAAAACAAATACAGTCTCTGGAAAATAGTGCTCATTGGCTTCTTAATTATTTGAATGGTTGTACCATAGGATTTCACTTACAAACTCAAAGGTTAGAACTACTCATAAAGCATTATAAACAGTACTACAGGACAGTACCGCTCAGTAGCTTTCATTTGAATGGTCACACTTTAGGATTTAATCCACAGAGTTAAAAGTTAGAACCTCCATGTACAGCTAATAAACAGCAACAGAGTAAAATACTGCTCCGTAGCTTTCATTTGAATGGTCACACTTTAGGATTTCATCCACAGACTCAAAATTTAGAACCACCTTGTACAGAATAGTGTATAGTAAACAGTACCACAGAAAAGTACTGCTCAGTATTTTTCATTTGAATGGTGACACTTAAGGACTGTATCCACGGTACGTCAACGTGTTCCATTGTATTAAAGTACTATGCCTTGTTTCAGATATTAATGAATGCCAAGAAGTCGGCAACAAAAGGCACAACTGTTCAGAAACTGCTACATGCACGAATGTTCCTGGTTCATATAACTGTTCGTGTGATGCTGGTTTTGAAGGCGACCCGCTAGTGAATTGTACAGGTTAGTACAAATACGCAAAACCAGTCAGCTTTCAGCATTAACATGAACAAAAACTACAACTGTTTCAAGTATTTTTTCAACCGTCTCCGAGTGTCTCCTTTTCCCTTGTGAACAGAGGATAGTGGTAGCATACATACATACATAGCATACATTTTCTTGCAAATGGCAAAACGTTTACACGAGAAACAAAAGGCTGGCTGGCCTAAAACGGGTGACCTGCCTATCTGGGCTATATTTTCTCCAGAAATGCAAAGATTGAGTGGTCTCTTACGGGAGGTGGTCGTTTTAAAAGAATCGAACCACAGAGGGCCTCTTCCGCGAAGAGGTCCAGGGACATCTACTTTATAGAAGATAATGTATTGCATCCAATGTCTAAGTACCGAAATACGTAATTCCATGTCGTCACTAAAGTTCTTCGTATATTCTGAGTGGAATAGTGTACGCAGCGAACTTAGAGATCAGAGAATGCGTCACGTGGTCACTTAAAAGAGGTCAAAAACAGTGGAAAATCATTAACCGTCAGGCCCAAAAAGTTGTCGCGGTCGCTTACAGGAGGTGGTCGTTTACTTGAGCGTTCAACTGTAAGGTTTTGACGGGGAAAATGTTTGTGTTTTCGATTGGCGGTCGTTTATGGGCGGTGGTCGCTTTCGAGAGGTGGTCGCACATGGAGGTTCGACTGTTTACACTTTGGATTCCAGCCGGGTCAACTCGGCCAAGGCGACTAAGAGGGTGACCCTTTTTCCCAGGACAACGTTTCTCCTATAAAGGGAGCGCCTGATTGGACAACTGTTCTTACTCATTTTTCACTTTGCTTCATGATTATTGTCCTTTAGATATTGACGAGTGTAATAATGGAGAAGCTCTGTGTAGTCAAGGATGTCAGAACACGCCGGGATCGTATCACTGCACATGTCAATCCGGTTTCCAACTTGGAGCAAACAATGCCACGTGCGAAGGTACGTTAGTGGTATGTTTTCGTGATGTAACGTGTCACACTCCTGCGTTTTGTCGCGGTGTGTGCACTGTAACAAGATAAAAGGGGCAAATCATTGCGTGACTCGTCATTACACAGTCCAGTCCGATTTATAATGGTAATAGGACTTAGTGGAGTCCAATTCGGTCGGTAATCATACGAGTGATTAACAAAATCGGATTTGTTTCATCACGAGTATGATTACAGACCAAATTGGACGACACGAAGTTCTCTTACCAATAATCATAGCTATAACAAAATTTGGTATAGTTTAGGCTTTTTAAACACAAGAAATTCTGAGTTTTTTTGCAAGCATAGAGAACAAGCCTATTACACTGTCTTATTCATTAGTGCTGAAATCAGGACAAATGATAGCCAATCAGATTTAAGAATTTTGTTATAGTTATGATTAGTACAGTCAAATCTTGACCCACCACAATGGCCAGTAACGCCATGTTCACAGTTTCCTGATAGCTTTTCGGGCTGACACGAAATACTATCAGGTGTAGAATGAACACCTAACTGATGTATCTCTCCTCTGAGATCAGCACGGCGCAGCTTAACAGAAATTGGGTGTAACCAAAAGCCCCACCCGGTATGGTTTTCGCAACGGCTCAAAAGCTATCTGGGATAGTTTGATCGTAAGCTAAGAGTTCTTTAAGTCAGGTGTTTAGTAAACTGACAATACACGAATCGTGCGAGTCATATTTGTTGAAATTCGATAACTCTCTTGATTCAATCTTAGGCCAGTCTTAGTTAAGGTGTGAATTAATTTTCCCTGGAAAATTGAAATTAACTTATCAGTATGAAATTGTACGGGCTTGAAAGATTTTCATTGATAATCGATTTGAATTATCGCCTGTCATTTAAGATGTAGATCGCGACATTTTGGCCTCTTATCTTTAGTTTTCTTCTGGCGATGAAGTCCAGTGATTACCGTATCAACGTAATGGGCTGTGATTGGTGCATTTCCATCCTTACTGTTCCTGCGAGACAGGGTAGTTGATCCTTTGGTGCGCTGAACTATCGTCTACTATAAAAATAATACATGCATGGGAAATTTGAACTACACTATTACTGTTGATGTTATTATCGCGAATTTTTTTTTGTTTCTGCTTTATTATAATGGAATATTCTGTTTCTTTCTTCAGATATAGATGAGTGTGATACAGGCCATAACTGTGAGCGTGTTTGCGAGAACTTGATAGGTTCTTACAAATGCGCATGCCCACCTGGATTTGAACTGAATGCCGATAACACCACGTGCAGAGGTAACAGAGCGCGTTACAGAGCTCCACATTAGTGACGGTCATCATGTTAAGCAAAATAGCAAAAACAAAAATTGAATATTTACAGTCCCCTCTTGGGAATGCGTAACAAAGTTTCTGTTACGTAAGCGAAACTCATTTTACATTGCTTATGACGTTCGAGCGATTCGAACGAAACGTTGTAATATTTTTTTTACCCTGAACTTTAGAAATAGTTATTCCTATTGTTTAATTCTGTTGTTTTACAAACTTTTGATTCGTGTTTCATTTTCTATTCAGTGGCGGCGGGCAGTGAATGCGACAACTCAAATGGAGGATGTCAACAAATTTGTGTAAACAGAACTGGTTTAATAACATGTTACTGTAACCAAGGGTACAATCTCACAAATGATAGGAAAACATGCCAAGGTATTTTAATATTTTTAAATTCATTTACGTATTTGGCAAGAAATTCGTTTTAGGTGGTACTGAAAGTGACTATCAGGTAGGAGCCGTGGTAACATTATCTCATGTGACATAAAATCTCCAGATATGTAAAGGCCGGTTTACGCGCTGTGATAATGTGACGAAAGGTTCTGACAAAACATCCGACATTTCACGACGCTACCACTGTTTTCCCCGCGAAATGACGTCTGAGAAACGAGCGCAGAAATTCCATACTGATGACGTATTGCTACCCAGATCTAGGTAGCGCTTCTGATTGGTTGAAGCAAATCTCCCACTCGATGGGCTTAATGCTAACTGAGCTTGTTCTTAAGCCTTAACGAGGCATGCGTCAGGCTTTCAAATAGCTCTCACCCCCTACCCCACCCCTCGTTCCGGAGCGGATAAAATGACCCCATCTCGCCAGTTTTGTATGCCCGTTCACGAATTCAGCCAAATTGTTACTTAACGTGACGCCCCGCCCTAAAGTGATCTCCCACTTTCAGATATCAACGAGTGCATGACAGGAAGCCATGGCTGCAGCCAGAATTGTTCAAATCTAGAAGGAAGTTACATATGTGGCTGTCATCCGGGATATCAGTTAGGCCCTGATAACAAGACTTGCAATGGTACGATACTTCTTTGCTGTATAAAGTTGTTTTTACTTCATCAATAATATGATGACCTAGTTTTTTCTTAGCTAAGAATTAAAAGTCAATCACTGACGTTTATCTGTTTCCAAATTTTCGTAATCTACCTCCTTGTCATACAACATATCACCCTTTATTTTGCACTTATCTATTTTCGTTCAGTGGAACTAATCCTTCAGATAACAGCCTATCAATGCTACGAGAAAGACAAACACATCACACGCCATTGGCCACATGAGAAACGAGAAGAGGACTGGGTTAACTTTCGAGTAAATTTTTGCAAAGACTTTTTAGGCTGTTAATACTGGGGACTGGGGGAAAATGACCAATAGGTGACCGCCACATCTCCACTTAACGAGCCCAGACGTTTTTGGAAAATTGACTAAGCCATTTTCTTTCTAGCTTTTAAAGTGGTGAATTGCTTTTATCATGTTTCATTGCTACAAAATGTTTGCGACTCATGTAGAAATTGTCCTTGAATCTCAAAGGACTATTTGTTGAATTAATCCTTCCTTTCCTCCACTCTTCTTACTCATAATGTGACGAAAGGTTTCCTCTCAAAATTTGGGTAACGACGTTCTCTATTGATGTTGAAAGAGAAACGTCTCGGCGCGTTATTACCTTTAATAACAGCGAGGAAAAACGTTTTACCCATTCTTACTCGTTTTTTTTTTTTTTTGCTTGGCTTACAGATCTGGATGAATGCAGCTCTGCCGCCCTTAACAGTTGTAGCCAGATCTGTGAAAACAGCCAGGGTTCATTCCAGTGCGCATGCGATGATGGATTCAACCTTCAAGCAGACAATACTTCTTGTTCTGGTAAGACATAATCTCAATAAGTACAAGCGTCAGCTAAGAGGTCACTAAATGAACTAATTTCAGACCAAGGGGGACTGGGTACGAGTCTGTGTATTATGGTATAAACAAAACGAGACTAGAATTTTCCACAAGTTGCTCGAGATTTTCCAAAACGTTTTCCGTAATTTCTTAAAAAGTTGCTCAAAAGTTGCTCGAAAAAACACCAAAAGCTGCCGAGCAAATTGTGGAAAGCCCTAAACGAGACCCACATAGTCAGAAAGAGCAGACCGAGTTTTGCGAAATTCTCAAGTTTGGTGCAAATCGAGGCAATAATGAATAAGGTACTCCTATTTTAAATACTTGACAATTTAAGAAGAGATGTATGAGTTGCCGGACACATTGTTTTGACGTCTATGCGGCTTTTTTTCGTAAATTGTAGAGTTTTTTGAATAGCTGTATGTCTCTTGCCCAAAATCAACGCCAGACTTGAGGATTCTGTAAATCTCAGTTCGTCTTTCTTACTTTGTGCGTTTCGTGTTATTTATCCCATAATAAACGGACTCATACCCAGTCTCACACGGTTTGAAATTAGGGAATAGGTCTGGCCCAGTCCTCTCTCCATTTTTCCTGTTCCGTGGTCAGTTTGTTTTTAGTGGGCATACCGTCGAACCTACGGTAAGCGACCATCAAAAATGCCAGGATTTACTAGTCGCTTCCAGGAGGCTGTTGCTTGCGAGTGCTTTCAAGGCCTCGTTGGATAAAACTCTCCTTGTTTTGTATAATTCTTCATATCATGCTCAATCTCATTCAGTAATTGTTAAATGATCATAATTATCTGAAGCTACATTATACAATTTACAAATATGATTATAAACTGATGATAGTCTTATTTCGATTCCTTGTCGCTTTCTCGACAAAAATTTGCATCGCAAAACGACAAGAATAGCTTTAAGACCAAAGTCAGTAATCCTGACTGCACGTACTTATGGGACGTTCAATATTTGCAAGTAGTATGCGGAAGGTGCTAGTATTACGTGACTCTGTCACTGTCACGGAAGTCAGGCTATTAATATGTCGATCTAAGGTGTATTTCTGTTTCAGATATTGACGAGTGTAACTCAACTGCAGTTTGTAGCGACGGCGCATGCGTGAACATTCCTGGTTCATTCTATTGCCGGTGTCCTACAGCTTTATCTTATGATCAGGGACGTTGTAAAGGTAAGTGAAAGCAAACAAAAAACAAATTGGAAAACAGGGGCTGCGTGGGGGGGGGGGGGGGGTGAGGCTGGGAGAAGGTTGGCGGATTACGACTAAGACTCCCTTGGTAGGCTCTTCCATACAATGCAAATATCGTAGCTTGCCTTAACCCCTTCACTTTCAGAGGGATTGATGGAGTCTCTTAAGGTAGTTGTTACTTTTGAGTCTGTGGATGAAATCCTATGGTGTTACCATTCAAATGAAACCTCTTCAGCTGTACTTTTCACATGGTAATATTTATATAGTATGCTTTTCTAACTTTTGAGTCTCTTGGTGAGATCCTATGTGTTACCATTCAAATGAAACCTCCTCAGCTGTACTTTCACACAGTACTATTTATTTAGTATGTAGTTCTACTTTTGAATCTGTGGACAATCCTGAAACCTCTTGGTAGTACTTTCCCATGGTATCATTGGCTTTTCAGCATTTTACTAGATGTTTTTAAAACTCCATTTGTCGTTACGATGTCGTGTCTCTTCCATTACGTTTGCCACAACTTGTTTGAAGCTCTACATCTCTCTTTTTAATAAAGGGCTCCAAAACATCAGATATCCAGTGAATGAAGTGTTCGTAGTTATTACGTCACTTCCGGCTCTTATCCATCGACACTGACGCGGCGATGACCTGGATTTTCTTTACTTTTTCCTTTGGACCTAGTGTTCTGTTGTATTTTAAAATACTCACTTATTATCAAACTCCTACTAGCTTAGGATTCGTGGTTGGTTGCATTACTCTGAATGCGCTTGTATTGATGTCATTTATTCCACAGCCATACGAGTATTTGAACTCATCATGACATTAGGAGCTTTCAATGGCAAGCCAGTGGTGTGGGACAGGTCACTTGAGGACAAACAGTCTACGAAGTTTGGATTCCTGGCCAGAAGAGTTGAGAAACAGGTTAGAAACAAAGACCAAGGGATTAAAAGATATATACTACATGTCTGATTTCGTTAAAAGTGGCCACTAGGTTTTCGCCTGGCGCCGGTCGCAGCCCAGCTCCAGGCCAATGCGGTCTCCAAATATGTAGGGGTCTTGCCATCCTGGTAGGCACAGCTGGATAGCCCAAGAACTGCCCTAACAGTGGGTAGGTGGATAATGTCTGGGGGGCAAAGCTAGTGGGGTAGAGAGGGGGCTATTTTGACACAACCCCTTCAAAAAGGAGCAGTGTTTACTGGAAGCCCTGACTGGCAAGCACCTTGTCTTTACTTTGCCCTAGCCAGCTGAATCAGGCCTCTGCTGATAATAATTATCATGATAATTGCAAAGCTCAGTGGGAGGCGCAGACAGTTACCCAATGTCCTGTGTGTGTGTGGGGGGGAGATGGTGAACGTCTTGGTAGCAAGGGCATACTTGTGTACACTCACTGAAGCCATGTTTACATAAATTCAGTCAGGCATATCGTAAATCCTTGATGAGGCCGCATCTCCAAAATAAGCCGCCTTCTCTTCGGGCGAACAAAGTAAAAATCTTCCTCTTCCCTTATTATTCTTCACTAAAAAAATGATAGACTGTATGAATCAATCACGACTGTAAAACTATTTGAACTGATCCGGGATGGTTTATTCACATGTTGAAGTTCGGATTTGTTTTTGATTCCCGGCATCACGACCCTGAACTTCTCGTACTTGCACTTTTTCACATTGTGTTGTGGTGTGAAGAATTGTTCAGTATCTTTTCTATCTTTTGTATTACGTGATTGCTCCCATACGCAACACCAAGTCCCTACCTCTTGTTTCCTCTCGCCTAAGCCCTCTCATTTCTAATACCGCTTCTTGATGCCTTCTCTATCTTTCTGGGTTTGGAGGGCACTGACCATTACATGGTTGAATGGATGAAATTTGTCAGGAAGCGTACCGTAAAATTCCGAAAATAAGCCCCTCCAAATATAAGCCCCCCAAACCGGTAACGCAAAAAAAACCTTCCGTTAAGTCGCCCCTCCAAATATAAGCCCCGCAAGGGCTTGTACTTGGAAAATTGCCCTCAAATACAAAGTAAAACAAAGCAAAAACGGTAAGTTTACTTCCATCTATAGGGCTAGCTCAATCGCTTTTGAAACGCAAATTTCCCTCCGTAGATAAACCCCTCCGCATAGAAGCCCTTCAAAAAGGACCTTTGGAAAATATAAGGCCCGGGGCTTATTTTCGGAATTTTACGGTATTTTCAAATGCAGTATTCATTTTTTATTTTTAATGTGAATGTAATGTTTTCTTGCAGTGCAATTTGTGGTTTGGTGGGAAACCAAGGTTTACAGGAAGGTTCTTAAAATGCCTTGTGCGAGCATTTAGGTAGGTCACATCTTTATTTGCTCTTGATCTTGCATTAATTTTTTGGTAAAATGATGCAACTCTGAGTTTTATACTGTTCTATTTATCGTTTTTGCATATTAACTATTTATTTATCAATTTTTCTATTTAATTTGCCTAGGCAAGGAAGCGTGGTTGCAGATATTGACATGCAGTTTGCTGACAACGCCACTGATGTTACTAACGACGTTGTTATTAGCCAACTGCCAAGATCTGGGCAGATGGGAAATCTGACGTACAATCCATCAACTGTAACAGTTTCAGGTGCGTTTATAAGCCATCGTATTTCAACAATGGACAGTCAACGAAAATCAGTCAACAAGCCGGCTGGAAAGGGCGCCTTTAAATCGTAAAGTTCTCAAGTTTGAAAGTGATTTTTTGAAAACTGACAGAAATAAAGAAAGAAAGTTGGTGAGGACGATAGTAGCGTAATGTTACAGGCTTTTGTATGGTGCGCTTGCTTAGGACGTCTAACCGTAAGGCTCATCATAATTTTAAGGCTCTTATCCCAGCAGTGTCGGTGGATATTTGCTTACTGGTCTTAACCCTTTAAGCCCCAATATCCACATACAAATTCTCCAAACTGATCTCTATACATTTCCTTAAAGAATGAGTTGAGAGAATTTGATAAAAGATCAAAGTATTTTCTCTTAGGTGATCATTTAATTAATTCTCATAATCTCATCTCATGATAATGAATGGATATCGTTAGGAGAAAATTGCTGTTAATCACTATTGAGACTTAAAGGGTTAATCAAAGCTTGAAAAAACGAAACCGTTGATGGCTGTATTCCAAGCCTATTTCCCTTTTGACGTCTCCTATTTCCTGTGAATCAAATTTTATATTGACCTCCCCGACCTTTTTTCAATGCCTCCCTTTAGATTTTGACGAGTGTCAGCAGGCAACTCACAACTGCCATGCGCAGGCAAGTTGCGTCAACAAAGAAGGCTCGTTTGAATGCAAGTGCAAAGATGGTTACCAAGGCGACGGAATCACAAACTGCGGTAAGTACATACTATTTTTGGTGGTTGTGGGGCAAAACAGGGAGATGGGGAGGGGGCTTCTGACACCACTCTACAGCGTCATTTTTCTGCAGTGTTTTGCGAGAATTTTATTGGAAATATACTTTTCTCATTGCTGAACCAGCTGCAGATGCATCATGATTGCAGAGCTTAGGAGGCATGATGTGAAAGCCGCTGTCTGTCTTATGCTTGGGGAGGGTAAATTTTTGGTACTAAGTTTGGTGGTAGGCCCATAATACACCTTGTTTACCTCCTGCCCCCCCGCCCACCCCGCCCACCCCCAATATCCATCGTTTACTTTTTCTCCTGTCTATTACAGTTGACCCGAAGAGAAATTGAATATAATACTCTGAAAACTCCTGGAGGTTAAACAAGGTGTATCATGGGCAATGTGAAAATGGTGAATAGAGAAAAGTCTTTTGGAGTGAGTCTGTGAGTGATACGGTAACGTTATCCCAAACAAAACCAGAGTTAGCGAACGAGCAAGATCATTTTCCATGGTTCAGTAATCGATCCATTGAAATGTTTGACAAAGGACTGGTGTAGACGAGTGACGCTACCGCAAGCACAAGGAAAGACACGCAAGCGTCGACGAAAGAATGTTTATTTTTCATGTATTGCATTGGCGCTTGCCCTTGTGTTTACCCGTGTGAACCGGGACAAAGCAAACGGAGACGGTCACGTCACGTTCGTGACTGACAATAGTCCGTCCGCCTTGATAAGATGGAAGGATAGAAAAAAATGCGTGCGTATCGCACTAAGCTTACGTTTGCCTGTGAAGATCTAATGTGTTTGCCGTTGTGAATTTAAAAATTGAGGCAGAAGGTCGACAGTTTTGACCATCCGTAGCAAAGGAACGTAACCAAGGAGGCCTGTGTTATCAAAAAGTTAAACAAAATCAAGTCAAACTTCTTTCCTTTGTTGTAGATCCTACACCGAAAGCTGCTGAGACAGGTATTGTAGTTTTTAAGTTTACTCTGATGGTACCGTGATTATTTTATATTACCATTTTTATGAGTTTAATGAAGGAGCGTATGCTCGTGTGAACATGCGCGTAATCTCAAGGATTTTTCTTTATCGTTCTTCTTATGCTCGTGCCCATAAAGGTTTAAAAATGGTTTGAAGGATTGTTAAGTGCACTTACCTTATGCAGCTAGTTTACAGGCACTCTACTCAAATACTTGAAGCAGAGAATTCAAATACAACTGGTAGGAGGTAGCCAGTTCGCTATTTACAAGCGTTGCCAAGGATTTAAACTCGGGATGACCGAGAACAAATCCAGGCTGAGCGGAACTCGAACGCGGGACCGCCGGATTGCGAATTCGACCACTCGGCCACGCTGCCTTCTAACTGTTGCGGCCGTCCTCACAAGCGCATAAGCTTCTTATGCTAATGCTTTTAGCTGTGCTTATTCTTGCGATTGCTTGCTAGTGAGGACACTAGCTAGTTTAGTTAAAGGGATTATTTGTTTTTTACTTGAAGCATTTTTTTGCTCGGGTTTTATGTTTGCACAGATGACGATGACAAGAAGAAGAGGGCGGCAATAATTCTTGGTTCCATTTTTGGAGCTCTGATTCTTCTGATTATTATCGTGCTGTGCATTGTCCAGCGAAAAAAGTAAGTCATCTTGAGACGCAACATTCGTCACAGTTGTCATCTAACCCCGGCTAGTTAAGTCTGCGAAGCATCGCCAAGATCTATTTTCTGGGCCCTCAACGGACTCACTGAATTCAGAGTTCGTACCCACCTTGAAAGTCCGTGAAAGTCCTTGAATGTTAAAATATAAATTCAAGGCCTTGAAAGTCCTTGAAAATTGCAGTCGGTGCTGGAAAGTCTTTGAATTTCAAGTCTAACTTTATAGTTTAAGTAGAACTCCAAAGAAAAAGAAGCAAACACAGAAAGACCTTAGGGATAAAATTACTCATGTTGTGGTAGAAAAAAGACATAGAGTCAAGGCTCTCTTTTGCACTGAATGCAGTCCTTGAAAAATGGGAAATGTGTGCTTGAAAGTCCTTGAAAAGTCCTTGAATTTTTTGTTCAAAAAAGGGTACGTACCCTGTGAATTACCGGAAGTGTGTTTGAAATTTCCCCTCAACATGATTGGCCAATTCTACGATGGCTTTTTCAAAGGCCATCCAAGGCGCATCCTCAAATCCTGGTACAGAGCTGGAGGCCAAAACAAGGATTACGCGGCTGGATCGCACACGAACTAAACCAAAGGTTTAACCCTTTTAAGCCCTAAGAGTGACCTGCAGCATCAAATTTCTCTTTGTAATATCAATGCTTTGTAAAACGTAGTGGTCATGGGAATTGCGGACATCATCACACTAGATGAATTTTCTTGATATTTTATAAAATTCTCCGCATTACGTCTGTAGGAAATGAGAACGCCATAAACAATCTTATCTCAGATACGAAATGTGAGACGAGTAATTGGAAGGATAAGTTGCGAGTATTGATCAAAGCAATTCGGTGTCATAGTTGTCGGTGTAAGGGTTGATTTCCACTGTCGCGTAATTTTCACGTGCGCACGTGCGTAAAAGTTACGTTCGCAAATATAATAGAGGCCATGCATGAACGGTCGCTCGTAAGCGTAAAAGTTGAACCTCGGTCATCTTCACGTTTAAGCTCAACAATTGCCTCTATTTTATTTGCGTGATTAAAATTTATGTGCGTTAACGTTCGTAGCCAAAAACGCGTCAGTGTAAATCAACCTAAAAGAAGCTTTCGTCTCTTTCTGTTAAGGCTCTGTTGGTGCTTTTCCTGCCAATGATTCGCCTTTTCAATAGTTACAAGCTTTGTCTGTTTTGTTTTCAGGCGATACAAGGCGAAAATGAGTGAGGCAGACCGTGGTATAAGTTTATCGTCCCGCAGTGTTCAATCTGATGTTTGTCACCCTAATGATCAGAATGATAAAAACAAGAGGGGCTCCTATGTGGTGAATGCTGACCCAGAGTATGAGAACGCCAAGACGCCGGATCGTCAGATGTCCCAGATGAGCGGAGACTACGACTACCCAGACCCGTATCCCCAGAATCAGAGGGAGAGCTACTATGACAATCCGGGGTTACAGAAGGTATTCATACAAAAAAATGACAGTTTTCTCAAGATCTTATCCAAAATTCATGAAAAAAAAAACAACGGAATTCAGACAGTTGTAACCATGAGGGTGGAGTCACCAGCATTAGTTCCATTACTACCGCCCTGACTGTTACAACTATCGTCACTATCACCAGTGCGATTGATAACCACCATTATTATTCATTCCAAATATTTCCCTGATTCTGATTGGCTAAAAGCACACGCATAATTCACCATAACCAGTTTTGGAAGAATTTTGTGTTTAACGAGGAGTGACGTCAAAAATGCAGCGTTCTTGCAGGTTAATGCACCGTTAACCGAGAAGACCTGGGGACGAGGTTGAGTTGTTTTGGTTGTGAAAACAAAAAATGGCGGACATTTCTCTCGTTTCAAGAGTAAGAACTAGGCGAAATTATAGCTAAAAACATGGCAAGAACAACAAGAACACAACTCGAAAGGCGACATCTGCTATTTGGAGAATATTTGCGGAGCTGAACAAACCTAAACGTGCACTATCGAAGGTGAACTCAACGTCGATGGAGGTAAGCATGTTTTAGCTTTGTTTTTAAACTAGGAATTATTTTGAATAAACAATAAAACAATTATTGAATTCGGCTTTCGCATCCGTATCATATGAAGAATTATGGAGATCTCAGAGGGTGTTATCCGCCTCGGCCTACGGCCCGGACGGATAACTCCCTCCTCGATCTCCATAATTCTTCATAAGATACTCAGCCTCATTCATTAATTGTCAATTATTACCACCACCAGTGCTACCACTACCATTACTTCCTGTGTTACCCGTTACTACTACAGTTGTTGTACCTCTACCATCACCAGCGTGGGTGAACACCATTACAATTATCACCACTATCATTTATACCACCACCACTTCTGCCACTACCATTACTTGCAGTGTGACCGTTACTACTACCACTACCACAACCATTGCGACTATCACCAGCGTTAGTGAACACCACCACCAATATCACCACTATCACTATCACCACCACTGCTACACTACCATTATTTCCAGTGTGAACGTGGCCGCTACCACTATCATCAGCGCTATCGCACACTACCAGCACTATCACCAGTACTACTTCTCCCACCATCACTACCACCAATATTGTCACTACCACCCCTAATTCCACCTCAATGGCCACCACCACTACCGTTGCAATCCCTATTACCAATACTACTAGTGTCACTACCATTACCATTATTACCACTACTTTCCTATTGCTACCACCACTACCAACAACAGTGTTGTCACGTAAAGACTTTCACAACTGCCGCCACCAATATCATACAGGGTGTATTGCTTCACCGCCATACACTATTCTGTTATGTAGTTTATATATAAAAGTACTTTTAATATATTTTTTCTTAATTCACAGGACTCTGCCATGTGAACGAGCACTCCCTGGTGACCTATTTATTATGCTACCATAACCTGCACGTAAATTCCTGTCCATGATTTGTATGACCTACCCTTTTTGTATCGTTTTCAATGCTGATTTTTTTTTAGTAAAACTTGCTTCTATTGCAAAACGGTTCTCGCAACTTTAAGCACGAGTTTTATTTATCCACGAATAAAACAGGGTACAAACTATCACTTGTTGCTTGCATTCATTTTCCCCTTTTCTACCTCGTCCATAGACGCTATGATCGGTAATGGATTTATGATAACCGTCGACGGACTCATCGAAAGGTTACAAAGCGCTGAAATAAAAACACCTTTTTTGCTCTTAAGCAACGAGGAAAATTATTTATATATAAATAAATTGTAACATGTCTTGCTTTTTGTTATTTTTTAAAAAACTACAACATTCACTACTCTACTCAAAATATTTGTGCCATTAGACAGTACTCAATAAGTCGTCCGTGTTGGTGAATAGACAGCTTTGGATTCCAGGACTAGGACGACCACGAGGACTACATTTAATTTTAAGTTTTATCGCCTATTCTCGAAACAAAGACACCCTGGAAAGCCTTATCGTACTTTTTTTTACCACAACCGTTAGTTTGTTTATCTCCGCTGAAGGAGGTAAAGCCCTTTCCCGATCGCCAATTGATATAACTTGTTTTCGCCACTACGACATTCTCGCTTAAACTCGTAGTAGAATGACGATGGCTATCATATTTTTCCGCCTTAATGACGTTGATGTGGGCGTTGGTTTGACTCTAAAGCTCTCTAATGTCAGACTCTCTATTTCCAATATTCATATTTTTACCACCTCTTTGGTCATGTGGTATGTTACAGTCCCCCTTTCGCTGCCCAACAAGATGACGAGAAGGCAAAATATTCTCCGTGACGAACAAGACAGCTGTTATAGTAACATAATATACTGATTTAGCCAGGGCTAAAAGCGATGCTCTCGATAATTTTTATAGTTTGCTCAAACAAAATATAAAATCGTGTAATGCTAAGCGGCGAAGGCAACGAGAACGGTAAAAAAAAACAATAGGTCTAATTAGCAAAAAAGCAACTTTGCACGTGCAGCACACTTTTTTTGTTCATTTCTTTCCGTTGTTTTGCACGACTGTTACGTGAAACTTCCAGAAACTCCCTAGTTACGCGTTTTATGGAGGGAATGTCGGACGTGTTCTTGTTCACTCTTTTTTCACTGTCGCTCATTTTCACCCTGGTGGACGGTAACATCCCGCCGCTACAAAATTTCATTTTGTTCCTCCAACAGAAAATGTCTCCTTTTGTTTTTTCCCTCTCGCTCTAGCTCCTTTTCTCGTTGAGCTTCGCTAGTCTGTCGCCTTACTTTTTCTTTTTCTCTGTCTTTCTCTTTCTCTATATTCCAAATTTGTGGACATTACAATTAATCTAAGCTTAATACTTCAAAAAAAAAAGCACGGATACAGAAACATTTTCCCCTTTCCGTTTTCGTCTTTATTGACTCTTTATTTTGTCTGCTTCACAAGACGCGGGTGGCCATACGCTTTCCCGCCAAAATAACCTGACATTTGGCATCGGCTTACCTGTAGTGAGTGTACGGACGGTCGTTCGTACACTACGTCATAACCAAATTTTCTCGGATGGATAGTTTACCAAATTTTCTTACCCGTGGAGCTCCGCTGGCGCCCTTCGCGTGCGAGAGCTCTGCTATAACGCATCATTTCCAGCTCACAGTACCCTTGTAACACTAAGCCAAAATGCTTGCATCTTCGAGTTTCACTTCGCCGATGTCGATGATGCGGATGTTAACATTGAATCACGACGTGGAAATGGTCCTTGGCAATGTTTGGTGATGTAGACCACTTACCGAGAATTGGCTTACGGGCATCTTTTAGTTTTCCAAAGCGGGTAGTCAAATATTTTGCCATGAAATTACAAATATCTTTTACTGATATAATCGTAATTGAGAAGATTTTGTTTATTTGCGTCTTTTTAAAGTGATGATTTGGTCTACAAACCTAACCATCTTGCATATTTTGCCCCATCAAGCGAGGTCAGAACAATTATTACTGCCTAATTGAATACTGTGACCTAGAACCAAGCAATGGTTCATGGTAGTGTTTTTGAGCGGGCAAGAGGGCACTTAGTCCACATACCAAGACGTCCATTTTTTCTGGCGACCATCTTACATTTTCCGAAGGCGGTACCTTGTGATTTCCGACTAAAAGCTGAAATATCTTCTCTGTTTATTTTTGGTCAAAGGAAGGCAGGAAATGGTGTTAGGCGATGTCACGAGGACTTCGATTTTAGTTGGCGGCATCTTACTTCTTAAAAAAAGAGGTAAGAGTGTTTTTTGTCTGAAATTTCCACTAAAATTTACCTAACAATAAACCCATTTTTACTCAATCATTAATGAATTATAATCATCACCCGAAACATACCTAACCTTCTGTTCATACAAATATACCCCTAATCAACCCAAATCTGAACCTTATAATACCTTATAGAGAGAAGAAATGTGCCGTCACAAAAGTTCAAATTAATTGTAAAAATTATGTGATTGGTTAGCAGGCCTAGATCGTAAACGTTACGATCCAAGCCAGTTTTAAACTGAAAGATTTGTATAGAGTCATCAGAGCATAACAGTGCTTATATCTATCCACCGAAAAAGTCTAACTTTTTGCAACGGCGCTTTTTTCATATTGCTCCGTCTGGATATGCCAACATATCCCGTAACTTTACAAATTTTGTTTTTGTGAAGTCATCACTTCCCCAATTCATAACTAACCTTTACCGTATCAAACCTAGAAATCACCTTTTTAACCAATCAGAACATAATCACCACCTTATTATAACTGATCTTCACCTTATCATCCGCTAAGTATCAGCTAATCACGCCTATTCGATAATTGTACCTTATCTTAGCTGATCATCGAACAATACGCATTGTTTATTATTACATTTTGTTATATAGCTGGCATTTTTTTCCCGACAGCGCGCGCTCTCATTGGTTACTTCTGATCACATCTAACTATGAAACTGTTTCCCGCCAAAATCTTTGAGCGGGCTACATTGCAAATTCTATGACGTGAGAGGGTAACATTGCACTGTTACCGGCGAATGTTGACCGCTTGCGAGATTTATTTTCATAAATTTCTACACGAAAAGGTTTTTCTAACAAATCACTTTAAAACTGGTCCCTCGGGAAACAGTTAATTTTGTTTCCCTAGGGAAGCATTGAGATTCTCGGGAAATATAATTGACTGTTTCCCTTGGGAGTAGTCGTTAAGTGTTTATTATTTCACCTGCCATTATTATTCCATTATGATTTCCAATGAAAGAAATAGGGGTAACAAAAGCTCACTACTACTTTAAAAGCATTTTTCTTGACTTATCTTGATTTGACCATAAACAAACGTAGATAAATGGTTGACATTTAGAACCAACACAATAGGCTAAACACCTTTGGAAAAAATCCCAAAAAATTAAGATAACTGCTAACTTCAAACTACTTAAAACTGATCTAGAAGCCCTATTTCAAGGTCTACCTAAAACATAGCTTAACTTAATTTCTTGTATATTTCTACTTAAAGTAAACATTTTGACCCAAAATCATTGTGTAACCCAAATCTAAAAGAGCCGACAAACACATTTTCCTGTCCCGTCTGGTCTAAAAAGAAAAAATATAGAAATTTCAAAAATTTTGAGCAAAACCATCGACTATACCCTTTAAAAAAATGCCAATTTTTCGAATTTTTTCAATTGATATATTCTTAAAAAATTTGACTTTGAAAAGTCAAAAAAGGCTAGATTCTATGTACAACATTACCAAAAACTTTTTCTAAGCCTATTTAGCCTAAAACATGGAAGAAAACTTAAAGCTTTTGACCAAAACCATGGACTAACACCTTTGAAAAAAATAACAATATTTAGACTTTTGAATTAATGTTTTTATAGTCCAAAAAAGCTTCTTTTCTATCTAAAGCGAAACCGAGCACTTTTACTTAGCCTATTTGCCCTTAAAAGAAAAGTGAAGTAATTTCAAAATTTTGACGGAAACCATGGACTAGCCACTTTGGAAAGTTTCGATTTTATTAGACTTTTTCAAAACGTCACTTTACCTGTCTCAAAAGCATCTTTTTTATCCAGAAGATCAAAACAACGATCTTTTCTGCCGCGATTTGCCAAACAAACACAGATCAAAAACCATGGACTAACCGCTTTGGACAATTTCGATTTTTTGGACTTATTTATAACTTTACTTTTCTCGTCTGAAACACATCCTTTTCTATGCAATTCATCAAAAAAACGATCTTTTCTGGCTTGATTTCTCTCAAAAACAAAGATAAGAAAAAGTTCGATTTTTTGACAGAAACCCTAGACTAACCCCTTTAGAAAATTTTCATCCCCTTCCGTTCTTTTAAACTTCACTATTCTGGTCTAAAAAGCTTTCTTACCCAGAATACCATACAACGATCTTTTCTGGCTTGATGTGCCAGAAAAAACACAAATGAGACAAGTTCGAACGTTTTTACAAAAATCATGGACTAACCCCTTTGGAAAATTTCGATTTTTTGGGCTTTTTCAAAACATCATTTTTCTGGTCTAAAAAGCATTCCTTTCTATCCAGAACATAAAAATACAATCTTTTCTCGCTTCATTTATCCAAAATATACCGATAAGAAAATATTCGATTTTTTAAAAACGATCATAGACAAACCACTTTGAAAAATGTCGATGTTTTAGACTTTTTTAAAACTTCACTTTTCTGGCCTAAAGAGCATTCATTTCTATCCAGAATATGTAAAAACAATCTTTTCTGGCTTAATTTTTCCAAAAAATACCCATGAGAAAATATTCCTTTTATGGATAAAAAGTATAATCTATTTGGGAAATTTCGATTTTTTGGACTTTTCTAAAACTTCACTTTTAATGTCTAAAAAGCATTCTTATCTATCCAGAATATCAAAAAACCGTCTTTTCTTGCTTAATTTGCCTAATAAATACCTATGAGAAAACATTCGATTTTTTCACAAAAACCATGAACTAACCCCTTTGAAAAATTTCGATTTTTTGGGCTTTTTTAAAACATTACATTTCTGGTCTAAACACATTCTTTTCTCTCCACAATATCAAAAAACGATTTTTTTTTCTGGCTTAATTTGCCCAAAATTAAAAAAAAGTATGGACTTACCCCTTTGGAAAATTTTGATTTTACTGACTTTTTTAAGACTAACCCCTTTGAAAAATTTCGATTTTTTGGCCTTTTTAAAAACTTTACTTTTCTGGTTTAAAAAGCATTATTTTCTATCAAAAACATCAAAAACAATCTCTTCTGGCTTAATTTGTCCAAAAAACAACCATGAGAAAATATTCGATTTTTGTAAAAAACCATTGACAAACCCCTTTGCAAAATTTTGACTTTTTGGACTTTTTTAAAACTTCACTTTTCTTGACCAAAAATCATTCTTTTCTATCCAAAATATTAAACAACAACCTCTTCTGGCTTAATTTGCCCAAAAAATACCCATGAGAAAATATCTGACTTTTCGAAAAGAACCATAGACTAACCACTTTGGAAAATTTCGATTTTTTTGGACTTTTTCAAAACTTCACTTTTCTGGTCTAAAAAGCATTCGCATTCTATCCGAAACACCAAACAACAACCTTTTCTGGTCTAATTTGCCAAAAACATACCCATGAGAAAATATTCGACTGGTTGAGAAGAACCAACTTCTCGCAAATTCCGATTTTTGAGATCTTTTAAAATTTCACTTTTCTTGGCTAAAAAGAGTTCTTTTCTGTCCAGAATACAAAAACCATGGAATTAGAAAACTGCTGATTTTTTGGACTTTTTTAAAATTCAATTTTCTTGCCTAAAAAGCATTCTCTTATATCCAAAATATCAACTGACAAAAAATTGGCCTTCTTTCCTTAGGAAAATGTGTTTTAGGAAAAAACTCCTCTCTAAGCTATAAAAACAACAAGTTCAAAAAGTCGGAAAATTGAGATTTTTCCAAAAAGGTTAACCCATGTTTTTGGTCTCCAAATGGAAATTTTCGCATCATTTTCTTTAGGCAATATAGGCCACGAAAATGTGTTTTAGGATATTCAAAAACGAGAAAGCGCCTTTCTAGGCTATAAAAACAACAATTTCGAAAACACAAAAAATTGCTATTTTTTTAAGGGGTTAAACCATGGTTTTAGTCAAAAAAAGGCCATTTTCCCATTATTCGTTTTTTAGGCAATATAGGCTAGTAAAATGTCTTTTAGGATATTCTAGAACGAAAAAACGCCCTTCTAGAGTATAAAAACATTCAGTTAAAAAAGTCGGAAAATTGACCTGTTTCCAAAGAGATTAGGCAGGTACAAAAGTCGGACCGGATCAACTCGGACCGCTAGTCCGGGTCGGATCAACTCGGATCGACTCGGACCAACTCGGATCGAATAAAAAAATAAAATAAAATTGGACTCGGATCAACTCGGAGCAATCAAGAAAATTAAATTAAATCAGCAAAACTGAAAGTTTAACTCATTTGGAGTGTAAAAAAGGCCAGATCATCCTTTTTTTCTCCGTGGCTTTCAGGCGCCATTTTGTTTTACTAGTGCCAGTTCTTCTCGGATAATGTTATAAATTGCGTTACACGACGCGCTCTGCTTCACAGATATGGATGACCTAGAGGAAGGTAAAATCTCGACCATCTTTCTCAATGAATTTGCCTAGTCAGTCAGTCGCCTAGAATATATATTTGCTTATTTATTAGACTACTGAATTAGTTATGAGAAAAGCATCAAAAGCCTGGTCTGTTGATCGCATTTAGATAGTTACCGAAGAGTGTTTGTTTGTTTGTTCCTGTTTGTTTTTTTTTTCTGCAGGACTTCTGAAACTTGATTTTAATGATATACTAGTGAGCAGCACAGATACATTTCCAGGGAACATTTTCAACTTGGAAGGAGGAGAAACCATGCTCGCCCGGGACAAAGGAAATTTCCATGCCCTAGGCAAGAATCGAACTCGCGACCCTCCAGTTCAGTGGTTGGAACGTCCAATAAACATGTAGTATTCGGAGGGTCGTGAGTTCAATTCTCGCCGGGGTACGAGAATTTTCACTGGAAGTGTATGTGTGCTGCTCACTAGTGTATCATGAACATTAATAAAAATGAAAATAAAATTAATTTACGCAACCACGAGTTCGTGAGAAAAAACAAAATGACGGGTGAAAGTTAAGTGATACCGACTGATTTCATTTTCCTTTTTATAATCCGAGTTGTTTTTTCTTATGATCCGAGTTGATCCGAGTCCAATTTTATTTTATTTTTATATTTTATTCGATCCGAGTTAGTCCGAGTCGATCCGAGTTGATCCGACCCGGACTGGCGGTCCTAGTTGATCCGGTCCGTCTTTTGTACCTGCCTAAAGAGATTAACCCTCGGCTTTTTTCAAAAATTGGACATTCAATCATTTTTTTTAGGCCATATAGACCAGGAAAATGTGTTTTACGATATTCTAGAACGAAAAAACGCCAAAAGTCAACAATACTGATATTTTTCCAGTTCCAAAGATGGTTTGGGTCAAAAATTAGCTATTTTTTTATCTTTCTTTTTTTTCAGGCAATATAGGCTGGTAAAAAGTGTTTTCGGATATTCTAGAACGAAAAAAAAGAAAGTTTTACAACTCAATTGTAAAACGCAGTTAATGGAGCGTGACGCCCTCAATCAACAACATGTAACGCAGTGTTATGCTATAGCCCTTATCAAATCTCGTAGAAGTTTACTCGTGGTGGGTAAAACTACTGGGTAGTACGTAAAATCACGGCTATAGCTGGGAAATTACTGATACAATAGCAATCCTTGTTTTTCGTTGCAGTTGAGGCTAGTTTCTGATGTATCGCTCGTTTTGTATGGCTAGTAAAAATAATTTTCCTCATGCATATCTCGTGGAGCACTTTAGGTGCACGTTCTGTTCGGTAGTACAGTATTTTTCATTGGCTTACCTTGTGATAGCACTCGGACTATAAAAGGCCTAGTAAAAGTCCTGTGCCTCATTCCGAGCTGTATTGCGAAGTTGGTTACTTCAACCGTCCTAAAGTTTTGTAATTCCCACCCTTCCCTCCCTTTGGAGGCTTTGTTGCTGTTCCTAATAAACACGGGCTCACCGCTTTCTTTCGCTTTCGGTTTAAGTCTCACGGCGACTTCCCCAAGCTTTGATTTTAACGCAAACTTTTATATTTGATTGTATTCCAGCACGTGCCGGCGGAGTCGGCTCGTAGTGCTGATAAGATAAAGTTCCTAGAACAAAATATTTGCCTACACCGTTCCATTAAGTTGCACGATGCTGGCCGGAGGTTTCAGCTCGTAGTGCCGTGGAGTGTTAGGCCGTTTTAAGTTTGCTTCTTTCGGACCTACCTGAACTTGTCCGATCCGGCGCGTGTAAATTAGCGCCGGGGAGATAAGTAAGGCTTTATGGTCACGCTATGGAAGTCGTCCACCACGCCGATCGCGGAGCGGTGTTCCCCCCATTACGCCATCTGTTTGTTGTCTTATTTTATTACACTTATTGTAAAGTCTAGCGAAAGGAACTACGACATTAACTTCTCTAGGCTAAATAATTAACAAGTTCAAAAAGTCAAAAAATTGATATTTTTAAAAGACCAATGGTTTTGATCAAAAACTGGCGATTTTTCGATCTTTTTTATTTTAAGGAATATAGAGCAGGAGGATGTGTTAGGATATTCTAGAACTAAAAAACGCCTTTCTTGCCTATAAAAACCATGAAGTGCACAAAGTCGAAAAAATGAGGGTTTAACCCATGGTTTCGGTCAAAAGATGACAATTTTTCCACCTTTCTTTCTAAGGCAATTAAGGCCAGAAAAATGTGTTTTAGAATATCCTAGAACAAAGAAAACGCCTTTATAGGCTATAAAAACAACAACTTCAAAAAGTAAAAAAAACTGAGATTTTTCAAATTCCAAAAGGGTTAACCCATGGTTTTGGTCAAAAATTGGCCATTTTTTCATCTTCTTTTTTTTAGGCAATATAGGCCACGAAAATGTGTTTAAGGATACTTTAGAACAAAAGAAAGCCTTTCAAGGCTACAAAAACAAAAAGTTCAAAACGTCGAAAAATTGAGATTTTTCCAAAGAGGTTAACCCATGGTTTTGGTCCCAAAAGGGTCATTTTTGCAATTTTTCTTTTAGGCAATATAGGCCAGGAAAATATCTTTTACGATATTCTACAACGAACAAACCCATTTTAAGGCTATCAAAACAAGAAGTTCAAAACCTCGAAAATTGAGATTTTTCCAAAGGGATTAACCCATGCTATTGGTCCAAAAATAGCCATTTTTCCAACTTTTTTTTGGCAATATAGGCAAGAAATATGTTTTGCGGTAGAACGCCTTTCCAGAATATAAAATAAAAAGTTTAAAAAATCGAAAAATTGAGACTTTTTAAAAAAGGGGTTAACCCAAGGTTTTGGTCCAAAGATGGCCATTTCTCAAACTCTTTTCTAAGGCAATAAAGGCCAGGAAAATGTGTTTTACGCTATTCTAGAACGAAAAAACGCCCTTCTAGGCTATAAAAACAAGAACTTCAAAAAGTCGAAAAATTGACTTTTTTCCAA